CCCGGCTGCGGACATGCCTCAGCCAGGGAACCGTTTCCTCAGTGGACCCCCTTCAGCCTCCGCCACCCCAGGTGCTCCCCACTGCAGGGCCCTGGGAGGCCTGGGGCGGGGAGCAGGAAGCGAGGGGCGTGCAGGCGAGGAACGGCCCCAGAGGGGACACACACGTCAGGACGATGAGCCGGGCCCCCAGGGTCACCTGGCCCAGACCCTCGTCAGACTGAGGCACACAGAGAGGGCAGGGCCTGCCCAGGGACACGCTGCCTGTCAGTGGCACGGCCAGCCCAGAGCTCCATCCCTGGACACACCTGGCGCCGGCCCGTGTTGGGCGCCCCGTCTTGCCGTGGGCTGTGGTGCGTGGTGAGCAGCCTCAGTGTCCAGGCAGACTTGGGGGGAGGCTGCTGCCTGACGGCACAGGACACGCAGATGCCTCCGCGGCCCCAGCAGGCCAGACCTCCCAGGTAGGCTTGGGTGCCTTACCGGAGCCCCTTTCGGAGGACCCACTGTGTGCTGGGTGGTCCCAGCAGGTCAGACCTCCCAGGTAGGCTTGGGTGCCTTACCGGAGCCCCTTTCGGAGGGCCCACTGTGTGCTGGGTGCTTTACATGTATTCTTTCAACCCTCATAAACGTATCACAGACAAAACAGCTGAAGCTGCGAGACACTGAAGCGTGAGCCCGGGTGCCAACGCCAGTGAGCGGCAGAGCTGGGCTCCAACCCCAGCCCGACCCAGGAGACCACATCCTTTTCCCTGAACGAGAGACGAGGGCCCAAGCTGTCCACCCTCCAGGAAGGGTGACCAAGGGGCCAGAGGTGGGAAGGGCCCAGCCCAGACTGGAGGATGCGTGGGGAACTCACAGGACTCGGAGCCTGGGCAGCTGCTGGCACACCCCCAGGGGGAGCTGCTGGATGCCCGCATGGGTCAGGGTCCTGCAGGGAGAATGGAGGCGGAGCTGTGCCAGGCCCAGGCCCAGGCCCAGCTGTCCCTCTGCCGGGGCCTGACGCTGACCTGGGAGCTGACCAAAGAGAGGTGGGGGGCCAGGGCGGGGTGGGGTGAGGAGAGAAGGCGCCTCCCTGGGACCAGCGTAGGTGCGGGTTGGGCAGACTAGGGGCACAGCTGGGGCTCTGCCTGGCAGATGGTCCTGCAGGCAGCCCCTTCCTGACCCCATCAGGTCCCTCCCATGTCTCCCAGTGTCTCCAGCCACACAGGGCCCAGATTCTTCTCTGCTCCCCACAGAGAGGAGGGGTGGCCACGGACGGGGAGTGGACAGAAAAACCATCACCAAGGGAGCTGTGGGAAGCAAGCCGAAAGCTTGCTCCCTGTGCCTGGGGGCGCAGTGCGGGTGAGCAGGCTGTGGGCAGGTTGGACAGCAGCCGGCCTTAGGGACAGGGTGTCCCAGGAGAGCCCCAAGGCCAAGGTCGTCCTGGGGGAACTGTTACTTCCCTCATGGAAAATTTTTCAGATGCTCGCGAGTCCACTGGGGCAGACAATAGGGGCACAAAGGGAGCTCCAGTCCCCGCGGCCCAGCGAGGCGGGGACACAGCCGACCTCCTGACGCTCACTCTGGGCGTTTGCACGGCTGTCCTGCCCATCTTCTCAAAGTGTTCTGAGGGCCTACTGTGCTCGGACGCCCTCCCCTGCTCTACCAGACAGAAAGTGGAAACTGCGAGAAAGTCTTTGTTGGAATCCAGCTTCAGAGCAGAGAAGGAGGTGGGTGTCACAGACTCCCGCCCCTCGAGGGTCCTCAGTGCACCACGGCTTGGGGTGGGGAGCTCTGAGGTCATGCCTGAGAAGTCCAAGGATGGAAAAGCAGGGAGGACCAGCCTCCTCACCCCTGAACCACTGGCCACTCCGGCCTGGCCTGTAGCAGAGCCAGGTCAGGAGGCGGCTGTAGGCCCCTGGGGCCAGGCTGGAGCCAACAGCAAAAGGCCCGGTGTGGGGAGCAGAGAGTCTAGGGCTCCCGGGGGCAACGGGGCCAGACGAGATGGGGGCAAGAGTGTCCACTCACAGGATCTCCAGGCTGGTGGTGCCTTTGAGATCCGGGAACTCCTGGATGTTCGTGGCGCCATTCAGGGACCTGGAAATGAAGACACAGAGCTCAGAGGGTGGGGTCAGCTCTGGGGACCTCCCTGCAGGGACTCCACTCCTGGGGAACGCCATCCTCCCCCACCTCCCTCCAGTGACCCAGCTGCTCAGGCCCAGCTCCACACTGCCATTTCCCTAAGCCAGTTCTGCCAAGCCCGGCAGGCCCCGGGGGCCCCAAACACGGGCAAGACCGTGGGGATTGCCCCTTTAAAAGGCAGCGGCTTGAGGGCTTCTGAAAAAGTGTTTGGTTGCCCAGCTGCTCCTCAGAGAGCGGGTCTCCCCTGAACGGTCCGCTCAGGGCTTCCCTGCAGGTTCTCTGGGACTGACGGCTCCTCCCTTCCGGCCGCGCCGTCTCGGTGGGACCACAAGGCCTGCGCACGGCAGGAGCCCACCCCGCGGGTGAGGGGTCCTGGTCCCTCCCCTGCAGGAGAGCCTCGGCAGCACCCACGCGGTGCAGGGCGGAGTGCGTGAGAGCGGGACGAGCCCTGACGTCTCAGCCGCGCCAGTGCTGCCGAGGGTGGGGTTGTCGCCCGGGGGGGTCTTCTGGAGACGTGGCACTTGGAGTGGGAATTAAAACCGTTGGAGAGAGGAGACCAGGGATCCTTCGGGCTGAAGGGAAGGCCCATCATGCAGCAAGGGCCTCAGGGTCAGGCTCGGGGTCCCCGGAGAAGCCATGCTGGCTGTGGACCTTCAGCCGCGTGACTCAGAGGCTCTGGGGTCTGATGTCGGGGAGGCCGGTGAGCCCAGGCAGGCCCAGGACTAGGCCTGGGCCACGCGGAGGCTTGCGGCCCTGAGACTGCGGTCCGGGGTCCGCAGGGAGGAGGTGGGAGGCAGCGGGAAGGGCTGGGGCAGAGGTGCTGACGTACAGCGTGTGCAGTCTGGGCAGGTACCGGAATGCCGACCTCCCCACGAACTGGATTGGGTTATCGTAAAAATGTCTGGAAGAAAGAGACCGAATTCCTTCATTCAAGTCTCCCTGCTGGGACCAAGGCAGGTCCCTGCTCTTCCCCCACCGTGGACACCAGGGAAGAGCTGTGGGGGAGTCCCCCAAGTCCTACCTCCCAACGCTGTCCTCCCCCCAGACACTGCCAGAAGAGGGACTCACATCGTCTGTAGCAGAGGGTTCCCCAGGAAGGCCTCCTCTGGGATAGCTCTGATGTTGTTGTCATGGAAACCCCTGGAAGGCAACACATGGATCAGGAGGAGGTGGAGGGCGGTTGGGCAGGACAGACGCGGGATGATGGATGCTCTCCAACAGCCAAGCAAAGGGCCGTGGGACCACAGGGATGCCAGCCTGGACACTCCAGGGTCCAACCCTGCCTGTGACTTTCCTCATTTGCTCAGCCACGTGGGAAGGAGAGAGGGTGAGCCTTGGGGAGGGTGGGGTGAGGCCGTGGGAGGCCCAGGCTGCCCTTGGGCACAGAGGACGCCCCAGAACCGCACGGGGAGCTTACAGTTCCTGCAGCCTGCCCAGCGTCCGGATGGCCACAGGGAACTCCCACAGCTCGTTGTAATTCAGGTCTCTGGAAAGGAAGGCAGTGCAGTCATTGCAGGGGCCCCGAGAGACGGACGCTCGGGTCTGGGGCCCACGGGAAAGACGGGCTTTCCAATCTGCCAGGTCCAGTGCCAGCGCCGGGGAGCACGTTTCTGGACTGTCCCTCCTCCGTCACCTCCCTGCAGATCTGCTTTGAGGGGACATCTGGAACCAGCTCCCTCCGAACAGTCCCCACTGGTTGAGGAAACTGTCTCAAGCCTCTGGAGACATCAGTGGCTGGGGAGGGGGCAGAGGGGGAAGGGGGCAGTTGTCAACATCTCGTCACCAGCACTAGGGACTCAGGAAGGTTTCTCAGGTGACTACCTTGGCTACCTGTGGCCTTCGCCGTCGCCTTCTGCACAAACGGACAGTCCTTACCTGTGGGCAGCGGACACAGCTGATCTTTATTTTCTCTTACCCTTTTCTGCGTGGCCTGATTTTTTTAATTTACAGTGAGCACATATCGTGTATTATCAGAAAACAATGGAAATGACTTCCACGAGTGGCGGCAGCCCCAGCTGGCCAGGGTGTGGGGAGGCAGCGTTCTAATGACCTGCTGGTGGAACTTAAATGTGCACAACCTTTAGACATAATGTGACAGAACCCTTTTAAACTGAAAGATTCACCCTAGTCACTCCAGGCCCAGGAGCGTGTCCCACAGAAAAGTCTCCAGGTGACAGGTGACTGGTGTTTGTGAAGGCAGGTGTGACAGTTGTGTCCAGGCGACGGGACGAGATACTGACCCCTAAGACCCCCTACGGGTCTTCTGTGTCAGTGACCTCTGTGGATGGCGGAGCAAAGGGAGGATGGAAATGCAAGGGCCCAGGAGCGAATCTGACTGTCCTCGGGAGAGGTCCGGAGCCCAGCTCCCAGGCAACGGGGTGCGTTCTGGTGACAGGCAGGAGCAGAGCCTCAGAGGCGGGGAACGGGCCACAGAGGGCTTTCAGAGCAAGTCCCCCGATGCCATGGGGCAGGACCCCACCACTCCTACGAGGGGCCTCAGAGCAGGTGTCAGCGTCCGGAGCTTTAGGACCCAGTGTGTCAGCCCCGTGTGGGGATGAGCTGCTTCTCGGGGCCTCTGGACCTGTGGCCAGAGTCGGCGTCTCCGGCTCTGGCCAGAGTGGGGCAGGGCTCAGCTGCCTTGTCCCTCTTGAGCCCCCAGGATGACCCAGGCCATCTTCTCAGCCTTTTAGAGCCCCCCTTGCCCTGGCAGTGTTCAGGAGGACCGTCCGACACCAGGGCAGGCGCTGCGCGGAGGGAGGCCCTTTAGTTACAGAGATGCAGCAGGCTGTCTGGCAAACACTAGGTTCCACCACATGACAGGTCATTACACTTAATAGTCCACAGGTAGAGCCAGGAACCCGGCCGGCAGGGCCAGCGGGGCCGTGACAAGCGTCTGGCAGGCAGGGAGCCGGGTGACTGTACCCCGACACACACACTGATTCCCGATTGTGCTCAGACCCTGGTGACCTGGGGTAATCAGGGTGTAAACCCTGGCCCCACCCTGGCCCATCCTGCTCTCAGTCAGACGCCCTCCCCTGGACCTGCTCAGAATGGCTCCTGGCCAGTGAGGGGAGGCAAGCCCAGGGCCGGACATGTGCAAAGCACTTCCACTGAAACTGGGGGTTCTCAAGGAGTTTCCAAGTCCCTGCAGATCTGCTGTGGGCGACTGAAGGGGCCCAGAAAGTCAGAGGGGTGGAAGCTGGGGCTGCCAGCAGCAGGAGTGAGGGAGATGAAATCTTTCCAGCCTTAGATGCATAAATGATTCTCCCTCATGTCCCATCTCCAAATCCTGTGGCCCTCTGAGTTGGCTCAGCCCACCCAGGAATTCTCCACCTTCATCCAGGGAGGACCAGATTTCCCACGCGTAGCATGGAAGCCTCTTCACGCAAAAGCCACAACACCACAGTTCTACCTTCAGTGCAAAGACCTGCCCTGGTCTGGCCCCGGATCTCCTGCTCAGGGTGGGAAACCTGCCGGCACCTGCACGCTGCCCCCAATTCACGAGGGTCTCCCCCTGAACTGCACCCCTGCAGGAGGGCTCTCCCGACCCCGGGCTGAACCAGCAGACCCCACGGTCCACTGTCCCCTGCCCAGTGTGGCAGGTGCGAGGCGGCCTCGAGTCTAGTCGTTCTGCAGCGGGGACGTGAATCACACCAGCACACTGCACGCTGTCACCTCCTGTGGTGTCACCTGTCGGCGAAAGCTCCAGAAAGCTGGCAGAAAAGGTGGCCCCAAGGCCTTTGTGGCCTCTCCTGTCAAGGGGGCTCCTTGAGACTGGCCTGACCTCGTGGGCACTGACCAGCAGAACGGGGCGGAGGTGACACTATAGGACCTGAGTCACGGAGTATGAATGCTCTCTGCACCCGTAAGGACGCCCGGCCGGCCTCCCTCCTGGATGACAGAGCTACACGGAGAAGGCGGGCCAGCCGACGGCAGGCACCGTGGCCCCGGACGTGGGGGGCGTCCTCGCCTCCGGCCCTGTGGGGCCTCCCGCAGATAGAGCCTTTGTGACCAGTCCCTCCAGCAGGAGGTCTGCCCGGATGAGTGCCCAGCCGCTCCACAGATCCAGGAGAAGTTGCTAGCTGTTGTTTTGAGCCTCTCGGTTCTTGGGTGACGTGTGGTGCAGTGACACACAGTGAGACACCCTGCTTTCTTTTTCTCACATAACACATTGACATCTGACAGACACTTGTTCATTTTACTTCCAACCGACTGGAATGAACGTTTCCTGAAAACAGAACCTTCGCTGTTTGCTAGTTTAAGCACCAGAGGCGCCCTGGCACAGAGCACTTGTTTCACGAGCAAACGAGTGAATGAAACGGTGAGATGAGTTGATTAATGAGAAACACTAACGGAATCTCAAAGGAATCTGGAGATCGGGGTTGGGGGGAGGTTGGGCAGCCTTGAGGTTTGGAGTTGATGTCACAAAGGCACCAGACCGTCCTGAGCAGGACCCTCAGGGCCCGAGACCACGGGACAGGTCCCCTGGGACCCTGCTATCACCGGCCCCTCTACACTTCCTTGGCCCACGACCAGGCAGCCAGACTGCATGGTCCCAGGCCTCCTCGGCAGCTTCTGGTCAGGAACGGTGCCAGCAGCGGCCTAACAGACAGTGGGAAAAGGACCATGGTGAAAGGCATGTGAACAAAAAGGCTATTTTTGTAGAAAAATGTGGGAGAGTAAAAATTATACAAACATCAAAAAGAATTTTGCAAACCACACGCCAAAGAGGTGGCCTGCCTGTGCCCCTCTGGGTGTCTCCGCAGAGCTGCTGACGCGGGTAGAAGCCCCACTGCACTTGGCGCCGCGTGGATGGACCGCCAGCCATAACTGTCCAGAGCCCCCCCGGCAGCCCTCTCTGTCCCAGTGGATCCAGTGTAGGTCAACGGTGTCTGCCTCACCCGCCCAAACACAGAGGACCCCACTGGGCCAAGTGGGAAGGGAGAGAGCAGAGAAACCCCCATTCAGTCAGTGGACGCGGGCGGGCCTGCGGGACCCAGGCACCGGGCGGTGGTGAGGCTGGGAAGACCGGGCCCTTGGTGGAGATGTGGCACTGGGACCAGGTCCTGCCGGCAGGGTGGGGCCTCGGGGAGGAGAAGGGAGGCGCGGGGGGAGCAGAGCGCGGTCTAGAGGAAGAGCACTCGGGGCTTGGAGAGAACAGCGGTGTGGTCTGGTTGGGCAAAGGGCCCGACCTGGGGGGCGGGGGGGGGCTGCGTCTGCTCCAGCTTGTCCTCGGACACTTGCCAGGCTGCGTGCCCTGCTTGAAGGACCTTGACTCCCACCGCAGCCCGAGAGGCAATGCTCCGCCACACCTGCTGTTCGGCTGAGGGACTTGGGCACACGTGTAACGCAAGCTGCCCACACCCCTAGTTGTTAAATGGCCGTGGCCGGAACCGCTGTCCACCCGAACCACCCTCCTCCCCATGGCTGTACTGCCCTGGGAGCTACAGAATTTAATCACACGTTAATAAAACTGGACGTTCAGCCCTTGTTTTTCCCAGCCACACTGCAGCTGCCATATTCAGAACCTTTCCATTCTCATGGGAGGTGCTGCTGGACAGTGCTGTCCTGCAGTGACCAGAGGAACAGCAGGACGCAGCTGGTGTCTCCCAGCTTCCGTGGTTGGTGTGGCCACATGCCAGCCTCTCTGGGGAAGAAGGGTGGAAGTGGTGCCTACCGCCGTCGGCTCAGGACTCACAGAACAGCCACCTGCAGGCTCTAGGAAGCTGCAGGAAAGGCCTCCCAAGGCCCAAGCTGCTTTAGTCTGACTCTTCCATGGCAGGTGGTTCACCACGCCCTGAACTTTGGCTGGAAAACCCGCCCATGGATTGTGGTCTATTATCTTTAACAGCCCAGAATCAGCCAGAAGCCCAGGAAGAGTGGACTGTTCTGTCTGCTCCTGGGAGCTGGGAGCAGACAGGAAGGGCTGAGGTTGAAGAGAAGTGTTCCCAGATCCAGCCAGGGCGCGTCTGGAAGCTACGGCTGTCCGCGGCTGTCCCTCGTCTCTGCTCGGTGGCTTTACCCCACATCCAAGCAGGGCTGATGGCTGGAGCAGCCAGTAAAAGCAGCTGAGAAGACCCCAGCCACGTGGCGCTCAGGGACCCAAGTCCCTGTGTTTCTCCTTTCTGTATGGCTGTGCAGAAACGGCCACTCCTGGGACCCCCGGGACCCCCACTGCAGTTTCAGAGCACAGCACAGGAGGTGACGGTCACTGTGTCCAGCCTCTTATTTCTGCTGATGAGGAAACAGGCTGGGAGGGAGACGGTCTCTCCCTGCACGTCCCAGCACCTGGACCCGAAGCCAGTCTTGCAAGCTTCTGGCTAACACATCCTGCAAGCCACACAGAGTGCCTCCCGCTGGGCTCTGAGCAGTGGGGCCAGAGCAAGGTTTTAGGGAGTCCAGGAAGGAGGACAGACAGAGGGGCCAGTTTTTCCCGGCTGCTTCTGAGCCGGTCCAAGCCAACGACCCTGACCTGGAGGCCAGGGT